AGTCCCAGCGCCAATACCTTCCTGCACCTCAGCGCCAGCAGTTTCCGCCTAGTGCCTGGCCATGCACCTGGTGAGCCCCAGCTGCGACCCGAGGGGCAGCTCAGCTGGGCCGACCTCGACCACTTGCAGACGCACTTTCGCTGCCAGTGCTACTTGGGCTGGGGTGGTGAGCAATGCCAGTGGGACCATAGGCAGGCAGCTGGGGGTACCAGCAGAGACTGGGCTGGGTCCCACCTCACTGGCCCGCTGGCTCTGACAGCCATGGCTCTCACCTGGACCTTGTAGGGGTCTCCTACCTGGCTGCCAATTAAGCTGGCCTCTGCCACAAGGCCTCTCTTGGGCATGTGGGAGCCTGTAGGGGGTGAACAAACTAGAGTCTGGAGGGGGCAGAGCCCCCAGGATGCCCAACAGAGTATCCATACCAGCTCTCACCCCCCTGTTCTAAGGGGGAGAGGAAGTCCCCTGGGAGGCCCCTTCTCTTCCTGCCAGAGAGGAAGGAGGATACAGCTGGGCTGGGGAGGGCCTGACCCTACTCCCCTGCCCTAGATAGTTTATTATTATTATTTTTGGATCTCTTTTGTAAATTAAATATAAAACAACTGCTTCTGTGCTTGGACTTTCTGTACCTTGGCCAGGGCTTATAAGAGAGATTCCAGGGTCTCCCGTGAGGTTGAGCTCAGATCTGTCTCTGAGAAGCCCTCTGCTGGGGACTTCTCATCTGTAAAATATGTCCACTGGAACTTGTGGGCCCAGAGCTGCCCACTCTGTGGCTGTCCTGCTGGGGAAGGGGCCACTGAGGGTTGAGGGACACACATTCCACCCCAACACTAAGGACCTTGCTTTTTCCACGTTGGGCCCCAACCTGGCGTGAGGAACAGGGCTCATTGTGCTTCTACCACTTGCCCCTGCATCTCCTGCTGGGCCGGTACCAGCTTCCTCACCCCACCTACCCAGGGAGAAAGGAGGAAGTAAATGTGTGATCTTCCCTGCTGTTCCCACAGGCCAGGGCGTCTCTCTCACTCCCTGCTGCCAGTGGGAGTGGACTCCAGCCACACACACCTCTCCCCATCTGGATCACAGCCTTCCCTTGGTTTTGGTGGGGGGCAGCGGGCAGGGGATTGAGATCTGAATCCTGAGATTCAGTCCCTGTCACACTACAGAGATCCATGATGGGACAGGGGGATCCTGAGCCTGGGAGCAGGGACATCCTCAAAGATCACCTCTGTCCTGGCCATGGGAGAACATGGCTAGTCCCTGGCTGTCCCAGAGAAGAGAAGTAGCAGCCGGAGTAGTCGGACCAGCTCTGACTTGCTACACTATGCCTGCCTCTGATGGGAGTTATTTCAACCCTCCCCTCAGCCATCAGAGCCACACCTGTAGTTCCCCTGTCCATGTCAGTGATGACTCACCCACACAGTCCTGTCCTCAGGAAACTCACCAGCCCTGGGGAGACAGACTCAAGAAATAGAGTGGTGAGGACAGCCAGTAGCAAGGGCTCAGGGGAGGTGCTTGCTTTATTGAGTTTTGAAAGGTGAAGGGGACAGCTTGATGCTAGGGAATAAAGCATGGAGAAAGGCTGGAGGAAGTTGGAACACAGCTGGCACATGGAGCTTGGGCTGGGGTGTAGCTTGGGGTCTGCTGCAGGCGGAGGCAAGAGGGGCAGCCCTAGAGTGGCACCTGGCCTAATTTCATTTGATGGCGGTGACTATCTCACCCGTTCTGTAAACACACTGAGCACACACATGCCAGTGCTGGGGATGCATCTCTGAACCACACTGACAAAGACTGCTGTCTTTGTGGGGATGACAAAGTAGAGGGAGATGCCAGACAGGAGAGTGAGCCCCAGAGAAGCGCACAATTGAGGGGATGGTGTGGTTAGAGAAGCAGAGCCTGGAGAAGCAAGCCCAGCCAAATCAATGCCAACTCAGGTTGTCAAGAGAGTCCTCTCCTGCCCTTCTTGCTGGTGATGGGCAAAGAATGGAGATAAGCGGGCTGGGTGGCAGCACCAGGAGGGTGATGCGGTAAATTCACCTGGTGAAGGAGAAGGTGGACACAGACGTCAAAGAGTCCCAAGTGCTTATGGCCATGGTGGGGAGAGACCAGGCTGGAGAAAATTCAGGTGTTGGTCAGTAAGGCCATGAGATAGAAGGTGGAGCTCAGCAGAGGGAAGGCAAGGAAGGAGTTAGGACCTGTCTCCCCGACACCTGTGACTTCCCACATCTGTGACCTCCCTACACAGATGTGACCCATGCACACCTGTGAGCTACCCCACCCACACCTGCAACCTCCCAACACACAGGTGTGTTCCAGACCCACACACCTGTGACCTTTCCCACCTAGCTATGACCCCTAGATACCTGTAACTCTCTGTGCAAAGCTATGCTCTTCCACATGTGTGACCCCACACAACTGTTATCTTTCCTAAACATCTGTAACTCCTCCCCAACTGTGATCTCTCCTACACTCTTGTGACTTATACCCATTCAGCTGGACCCCTCCATACAAACCTGTGTCCACCTCACATCACTTCCCCAGGAGGACCTAGAAGAAAGTCTTGAGGAAAGTGCAACTCAGGGACAGCCAGAACTGTCCTGTGGGTAAGGGCAGCAGGGGTAGAGAAGTACTGGGGAGTGAGGTGGCTCAGAGGCCTGAGGTATGCACAGCCAAAGAGAGCGAGTAAGGCTGGCCCATCAGCCTGGACAGACCTCAGACACACACACATCACTCACACCAATCCAACTAGACCAGCCCGGCAGGGGAGGGCCCTAGGGTTGGGGAGGGCTATGGGTACCCTCAGCTTCTTCCTGCTTTGCCACCATTAGAGCTTCTTCCTTGGACTGAGGCCAGCTGGAGAATGCTGGAGCTTCTCCCTCAGAACAAGGCCAGCTGCAGAATGCTGGCCTGCTGGTTTCCATGATTGTGCCAACTGCAGCACTAGGTTTCCTGGGCACCAGGAGGTAGCATGGGAGAGGGATCAGGGGTTGCCTTGATGTTCTCCTGTCCCCTTAGCCCTTGAAAGTTGTGCCAGGCTCTCTGTCCTACATGGTCATCACTCTTGGACCCTGCTTCCTGAACAGGATCAGCAGCCACTGCCTCTGTGACTTGATCCTGTGCATGGGTCTTGGCCAATGTGCCCACAGTCCCCAGCACCCTGGGCCCTACTTTCCCTCAGCCCTGCCAGCTTCTCCATCCCAGTCAGCCTGGAGGACCAAGCCCAGATGGCTGTGATTGTCATTTCTCCAGTGGCCATCGTGCCAAATGGTTCAGTGGCTCAGGCTGACTCGGCTGTAGATCCAGGCAACATTTTCATCCTGGGCAAGGACATAGCATTTCCTTCACCCCACTATGGCAGGCAAGCCTGGGCCTGAGCACCCAGCAGGTCTCAATAACCAGCTAATGAGTCAGTGAACAAATGAAACCACAAATGAATGAACAAGCATGTGCTCACTGATAGACCCATGCTCATACCCATGGTCACACAGACATGGGGTCTCATGGTCACAAGGCAGCAGGGTCTTACACACATCCAGTCCCAGGCACTGGGTCCCATGTTTGCATGTGCACATCATTGGAATTAGTGCAGAGGAACAGATGTTCACTAACTTGGGCTTCACAAAGACACAGTCACTGACCCAGCATATCTACAGACATGATGACAGCCCCAACTTCATGAACACAGTGCCTTTCAGAAGCAGGTCCCTAAAGCAAAAATTACATCCACTAGGAAAAGTAGGCACGGGGCCTAGGGTCATGATACTTCTAGGGGCCCATACAAGTGTTTTGATTTTTTTTAATCAGAAGGAAAAAATATAAATATATTAAAAATGAATATATAATAATGAACCCAGTCTGGATTATATTCAACTTTATTTTTTTTGTTGTTGTTGTTTTTTCTGACCGGTAAGGGGATTGCAACCCTCAGCACGGTGTTGCCTGCGCCACGCTCAGCCAGCGAATGCACCGGCCATCCCTATATAGGATCTGAACCCGCGGCCTCGGCGCTGGTAGCGCCGCACTCTCCCGAGTGAGCCACGGGGCCGGCCCAAATTATATTCAACTTTATACCAACACAGTTGTAAAATACATTGTCAAGTATTTTTTTAAGGAGGAAGGGCTCCATAAAAGCAAAAGTGCCTAAGGCCCACCAATGTCATAATGCAGCCGCGTGGGGAAAGTACACTCCCTGACTATATAATCTGGAGCCACCCAGATTTCAGTACCACAAACAGGCCTGCCCAGCTGTTTCTGCCACTGCCCTCCCCCTCCAACCCCAGTAAAGCCACAAAGCCCTGCCCTAGTGCTGACAGAGTGGGAGGGCCCTGCTGGCCTAGCCCCACCCCCACCAAGGGCACTTTGCAGGGGGTTCTGCGGTAGCCTTGCTGCCTGGCTGAGCCTCCCAATCCAGGTCCTACCCCTTAGCCCGCCCCTGGACTGGGTGGGTTGACCCCCTACAAGAGCTCAGAATTTCCAGAAGCAGCTTCCTCCGAGTCTCTGGTGTAGCTGGGGCCAGAGTTAAGGAACAGAATCTGGCCAGGCCCTGCCTAGGCCCCCATCCTGGGGCCAGGAAGTTTGGAGGAAGAAGTCCTTCAGCCTTGAGGTCAGCAGGGACAAGTGGGCAGACTGGTGGGTGTGCAGGAGGGGTGGGCTGACATCCCTTCCTCCAATGACTAGCCAGGATTTTTGGTAGAAGAGACAGTCAGGTCAGTCTGGGGGCTGAGGGCCTGGCTCTCAGCCACTCTTCCTGGAATAATAGATGTCATGGCTTCAGTGGCCCTTGAGGAAGGGGGACCGGGCAAGCTTAGGCCAGGGCAAGCCTTGTGGGAGGCATATGGCAGAGGCCCAGCCCAGTAGGCAGCTCAGATGTGCCTCCAATGGCAGAGCTCCCCTCTACATGTCTCCTCTGCCCTCTTACCTCCCTGAGCCCTGCAGGTTGATGTTTAACTGAAAGCAGAGCAGGGGTGGATTAATGAGCAAGGGGCTCAGTCCACCTGCCCAAGCAGAGGTCAGGGGGTTCAAGGCCCGCTCTCAGCAATGCCTCCTCTGGCCAGGTTTCTGTAGACCCACCCCGTGCCATGGCAGCCTACCTACTTCGCATCTGTGCCCTCTTCCTGATCTTGCTTGACATAGCCCAAGGCTCTAGGGGCCCTGTGGCACCCAACCAGCCCTTCATCACCATCTGGAATGCAGACACCCAGTGGTGCCTGGAAAAGCATGGCGTGGATGTGGATGTCAGTGTCTTTGATGTGGTGGCCAACCCGGAGCAGACCTTCCGCGGCCCTGACATGACCATCTTCTACAGTGACCAGCTGGGCACCTACCCCTACTACACACCTGCTGGGGAGCCTGTGTTTGGTGGCCTACCCCAGAACGCTAGCCTGGATACTCACCTGGCCCGCACATTCCGGGACATCCAGGCTGCCATACCTGCACCTGACTTCTCAGGGCTAGCGGTCATTGACTGGGAGAAATGGCGCCCACGCTGGACCTTCAATTGGGACACCAAGGACATTTACCGGCAGCGCTCACGGGCACTAGTACAGACACAGCACCCTGACTGGCCAGCTCCTCGGGTGGAGACAGCAGCCCAGGACCAGTTCCAGGGGGCTGCGCAGGCCTGGATGGCAGGCACTCTCCAGCTGGGGCAGGCACTACGTCCTCGTGGCCTCTGGGGCTTCTACGGCTTCCCTGACTGCTACAACTATGACTTTCTAAGCCCCAATTACACAGGCCAGTGCCTACCAGACATCCGTGCCCAGAACGACCTGCTAGGGTGGCTGTGGGGCCAGAGCGATGCCCTCTACCCTAGCATCTACATGCCTGCAGCGATGGAAGGCACAGGGAAGGCACAGATGTATGTGCAGCACCGTGTGGGTGAGGCATTCCGCGTGGCTATGGCTGCCGGGAACCTCACTTTGCCAGTGCTGCCCTATCTCCAGATCTTCTATGACAAGACAAACCGCTCTCTGCCCCTGGTGAGTCTTCTTTAACCCCACCCACCTTGTCACCTGCCTTGTCAGGTATAAGGTCCAGCAATTGAGGCCACACAGCCTTGGGGCACTTTAGCCTTGGGGCACTTTCATGCATTCATTCTCACGTTCATTGAGCACCTACTTGTGGCAAGTTCTGTGCTGGGCACAGGCAAGTCAGCATTTTTCTTTTTTTCTTTTTTAAAGATGACCGTAAGGTAATCTTAATCCTTGGCTTGGTGTTGTCAGTACCACGCTCACCCAGTGAGCTAAATGGCCATCCCTATATGGGATCCGAACCGGTGGCCTTGGTGTTATCAGCACCATACTCTCCCTAGTGAGCCACGGGCCGGCCCCCAAGTCAGCATTTATTAGAATGATAATAGTCCCTGTCTGCATGCCACTCACAGGCTAGACAGGGGACAGGCTTGCCTCTAGCCACCAGGGCCAGAGCAGCCCTCGATGGGTGTTAAAATTATTTGTCCCATCCAGTGGTTACACAATCTGCTGCAGGGAGGGAGGCCCCACGGAACTGTTCTGTCTCCTTCTCTAGGAGGAGCTGGAGCACAGCCTGGGGGAAAGTGCAGCTCAGGGGGCAGCAGGAGTGGTGCTCTGGGTCAGTTCGGAAAACACAAGAACCAAGGTGAGCTCATGCCTGGGTGGGGGCTGGGGACATGAGTGGGTCCATTAAGCTAACTGGAGAGACCCTAGCTTACCCTTTCTACCCCTGAAGTCCCAGTTGGCCAGCAGCTCTAGGTGGACCCGTGCATTCATGGCCATGATGTCCCTAACGCTCCTCCTCCCACCAGGAATCATGCCAGGCCATCAAGGAGTATGTGGACACCACACTGGGGCCCTTCATCCTTAATGTGACCAGTGCAGCTCTTCTCTGCAGTCAAGTCCTGTGCTCTGGCCATGGCCGCTGTGCCCGTCGCCCAAGCCACCCTGAGGCCCTCCTCATCCTCAACTGCATCAGTTTCTCCATTCAGCTGACACCTGGTGGTGGACCTCTGACCCTGCAGGGTGCCCTCTCACTTGAGGATCGGGTGCAAATGGCTGTGGAGTTCAAATGTCGCTGCTACCCTGGCTGGCGGGGAGCATGGTGTGAGCAGCAGAGCAGGTGGTGAGTGGTCACACACAGGGTTGCATACACTGAGCATCTAATGCACTCGGGTCTGACCACAGCTTCCTCAAATACAGGCACAGTCACACAGGTCATGGTCACAGTCAGAATAATATTCAGCCACCGTCTTGGGCACATGCCCTGCACACACATGCACATTGATTACAGACCAGGATAGTCTCATGAGGAGTTAGAACCATGGAAGACACCATCCACTGCATGTCCAAATGCATGTACTTGGCAGGGTCACAGACAATCCTCCAGAGATACTGAGCCCATCTTTGAACTGCGGCAATCACAAAAGATGACATTCGCTGAACACCTACTCTTTGCCAAGCCATGTGCTAAGCACTTTAAGCAGTATACCTCATTCAGTCCTCACAAGGAGGCTGTGAGGAAACCGAGGCACCCACAGGGAGGGTAAGCACTTTGCCCAAGGTCGCACAGCAAGAAAAGGGAGAAGCTGATTCAAACCCAGGCTGTTTGGCTCCAGAGGTAGAGCCCTGGCAGTCGTACTGTGTGTTGATGGTAACCAGCCCTGCACGACCCCTGAATCCACTGAGAGGCACCAGCTTCACAAAGCCCAGCAAATAAAGCAGTCATGATTTACTTAGCTGTTTATTGAGCGCCTAAAATGTGCAGGCCCCGGGATCCAGTGAGCACAGGAAAGGCTGGTCTCTCTCACTCAGGTCTGATATCTGTCTGAGGGCGGCTGCTCCCCAGGTGGGCCCGAATTTCAGGAAGAAGCTTCACCTTATCTTTCTCCAAGCAGGACTGGGGCAGGCGGCTAGCGGGACTCGAGACACAACGGGCCGGGGGCGGGATCTGCCTGAGCCTGGGGCGAGGCGGAGCAGAGGCGAAGCCATCTGGGGGAGGAGCCTGCTCCCTGCTGAGGCTGTGACGCTTTGGGCAGGGCCTCAGCGGGGCCAAATCGAAGCGGGACCGAAGCGGGACCTAAGCGGTGACGCAGGGAGCCAGGGGTGGGGCCTTTGGGGGCCCAGGGTGGGGCGGAGCCAACGGGAGATGAAGCCTGGCTCCGCAGAGACTGGAGGAGCTGGGACGCAGCCAGGGCAGAGACTGAGTCTGCGCCCGATCATTGTTGCGACGCGCAGAGCCGGGGTGGGGTCTAAGCCGGAACGCGCGGGGGCCGGGGCGGGGCCTGACCGTCCCAGAAAACCACCGGCTCTGTGGTGTATCTCCCGTCGAAACAGTGCAGTGCGTCCGCCGCACCGCTGGGGGCCAGTGTGGCGGACCGAGGAGCCCGAGCCAGAGACCGAGCCAGACACCACGCCGTGCGGAGCGAGGAAGCGGAATATCCCGGAGCCTCGCATCAACATGTCAGTATCGCCCCCTTTCCGCTCGCTGCCTGTCCTCCTGCGCGTGTGGTCCCAAAGTGGTCAGGCCGCACTGCACGCCTTCCCTGCGCCAGTTGTTCCATCCCAGAGCATGCTGGGCCAAACCTACCCCCAGAGTCAAGCTCTCGACGCCCCCATTCCCAAAAACTCTGAGGCCTGTGACCCACTAGGAGGGAGGAGAAAACCGAGGCACAGGAAAGACAGTGTCGCCCCTCTCTGAGGACGCCGGAGCCTCGCTCCGTCCACAGTAGGTGGGGTCGGCACTGAAGGAGTTAAGCTCGCAGGGAAGCCTGGTGCTCCAGGCTTAGGGGCGGATCCTGGGGCTTCCTCCCTCCAGACCAAGGAGTGCAACTCCTGCAGAGACGGCTGATGCAGGTGAGGGTCTTATAGCCCTGTGAGTAGGGTGGGATTTGGTGCGAGGGGAGGGGGCTGCCTGTTACTTATCAGTGCTGCATTGGCCTCAAGCTCAGGGAAGGTAGGGAAGGGGAGCCAGAGGCCCCTCTGGAGCAGGTGAGTAGAGGAGTGGGTCCCAGCTGCCTGCCCACGGCAAGATATCCCCCAGCATAGACTCTCCTGCCAGCAGAACTTGGGGTAAGGTGGGCAAGCAGTGGAGTTTGGGAACACGAGGTCTGGGCCCCCACTTGGTGGCCGTTGGACACCTCTGTGGATATAGAAAGGAAGTCGTGGTCTTTATCTAGGGTTGCTAAGAAACTCAAGCCAGTGAGGAGCCAGGCCTGCAGAGGCAACCCTGCTGTATGACTATGGGCCAGGTCCTGTGCTGGTGCTTCTGGGGCTCCATCAGAGGGGACAGTTGGGTCCATGTCCTAAGTGTCCTGAGCTGGGATGAGTTGGGAAGGGGACCATGCAGTCTATGCCCAGGCAGTGAAAGAGTCAAGGGAGGGGAAAACTGAGCTTAATGGGTGGCTGAGTGGTGCCCCAGGATCGGCTAGGTGGTGGGCATGGCCCAGGTGGTTGAAAAGGCTAGGAACTCAAGGAAAGCTGGAATGTAGGGAAAAGGAGGGATCAGGGAACTCCTGGGGGTGTTGTTTCCTCCAAAGGGAACCTTGTGTGGGTTCAAGCAGGGGGTATATTGTTTGGATTGCACCTTCTTTCTGATGCCAGCCGCTGTGGTAGTACACTGCTAGAGACAGGATGGCCAGCAAGTAGGCTGGATTGGCTGTCCTGGCACAGCGAGGTCCTGGGGAGGACAAATTTGTAGCCAGAGCAGGCTGGGGCCAGGACTCCTGGGTTCTGTCCCAGCCTTCAGCAGCTCACTATCAACCTCAGCCCCCCTACAGTGTGGGACAGGACACCTGGATCTGTCTGCCCTGAGTCAGCTCTCCCAGGACTAGATGGTTCTCTTCTGGGTCACCTGTGCCATCAGTTGAGTGTGGGACAAGGTGCATCCCCCCACTCCCCAGTTCCAGGATGCATGACCTCCCTTCCACTCTGTCAGCCATTCCCTGCCCCAACCCCATCCTCCCTCTTGGCACAGCCCAGCATGGCTGTTATCCACAGGGGGAGAGCCCTTGTGGTCTGAGGAGATGCCACTGCCTGGAGACTGTGGTCTTAACCCTCATCCTGGCACTGAGCCACCTGCAACCTAGCAGGAGGTGACCTGGCTCCCAGCCTGACTCAGCTGAGCCTGGATATTACATGCAGGCCAGAGCTTGCTCTGAGCCCTGGCCCAGCCAAGCTGATCACTACCCTAGACCCTACACACTGGATGGAGCTGATCCTGAGTACCAGCCCAGCTGAGCTGACCCTGGATCCTGCACACCAGCCAGAGAAGACCCCAGCCCCCAACCTAACTGAGTTGACCCTGGAGCCTGTGCACTGTCGACCTGAGCTTCTGGACGCTTGTGCTGACCTCATCAATGAGCAGTGGCCCCGCAGCCGCACCTCCCGCCTACACTCCCTGGGCCAGTCCTCAGATGCCTTCCCCCTTTGCCTGATGCTGCTGAGCCCCCGCCCCACACCTGAAGCAGCCCCCGTTGTAGTGGGCCATGCCCGCCTGTCACGGGTGCTGGACCAGCCCCAGAGCCTCTTAGTGGAGACAGTGGTGGTGGCCCGGGCCATGAGGGGCCATGGCTTTGGCCGCCGCCTTATGGAGGGCCTGGAGGTTTTTGCTCGGGCCCGGGGCTTCCGCCGGCTGCACCTATCCACACATGACCAACTGCACTTCTATGCCCACCTGGGCTACCAGCTGGGCAAGCCTGTGCAAGGCCTGGTCTTCACCAGCCGACAGCTGCCTGCCACCTTCCTCAGTGCCTTCTCCAGGAACCCCTCCCCCCAGCCACCCTGCAAGGCCTCCAACCTGATTGCCCAAGTTGCTCCAAGGGGCCCCCAGGGGCCCACATTGCCACCACCCCCTCCCCTGCCTGAGCTCTTGACTACCTCACCCCTACCTCCAGCAGGGCCCCTTTCACAAAGCCTGATGGAGACACAATACCAAGACCTAAGGGGATGCCCCATATTCTGGATGGAGAAAGACATCTGAGGGCCACCCAGGGCAAGGCACACTTTCTGGGTCACTGGACTGCCCTGGACAGTACCCGCCTCAGCCCACTGGCCATACCTCAGCCCCTAGCCCCTGAGGGGCAGCCGTAGCCTGGGCATGTTTCCTGGCTACCAGTGGGGTCAGGAGATGGCTCCATAGCTCTGGTTCAGAGCAATCAGTGTGGCTGAATAAAAGCTTCCAGTGGGTGTGGCTCTGATATTTTATTTGCTGACCCGCACCCGCATCTCTCAGGTCCCCTGCAGAAGCCCCCAGATCCAACTTGGCCCTGGGGCCATTGATGGGGGAATGCCTGTCCTTTGCCCCTCCCACTGTGCCAGGTCCAGGGGACAGGGTGGCTATTCCCTTCCCCATTCACTCACTTATTACTGTTCACAGAGCACCTACTGTGTGTCAGGCCCTGGATAGGGCATAGGCAACAGGGAACTATATAGACAGGGTCTCCACCCAAAGGGACAGATAAGGAGACAGGCATACAGTGGTAGGATCCATGCTGGGACAAGGGAGGTACAGATGCTTCAGGAGCCCAAGTGGCTTCACTCCACCTGGGGATCCAGGAGACCTCCCAGGGGAGCTGATACCACAGCAGAGAGCTGTGTGCTGAGTAAGAATTAATCCAGGCAGGAAAGGAGGTGAGAGCTGAGTGTTCTTGGGAGAAGGAACAAGATGGGCAGAGGAAAGAAGCGGATTTGTGACAGCTGTGGGTGGAAAAGGTATCAGAGGACACAGTGGTGCCTTGACAGAGATGGAGAACACAGGAGGGGAGCTCCTCAGGCCAGCTAAGGGTGTGGCTGTTCTGACAGGCCTATGGATCCCCTTGGGAACCATGCTTTCCCCAGCCCATCTTTGTGGGGAGGAGCTGGGGTAGCTTTCTGTGCCTTCCCTGTTATGTGGAAGGTGTGGCCATGGCTATGGGCTCTAAGCTCACGTCCATCTCTCTCCTGCAGGTTTCTATCCCTGGGGTATGACCATGCAGCTAGACTTGGCCCTGATGCTGGGGGTGGCCCTCTGCCTGGGGTATGGCCAGCCCCTGCCACAGGGCCCTGAACGCCCCTTTTCTGTGCTGTGGAATGTACCCTCAGCACACTGTGAGGCTCGCTTTGGTGTGCACCTGCCACTCAATGCCCTGGGCATCATAGCCAACGGTGGCCAGCATTTCCATGGCCAGAACATCACCATCTTCTACAAGAACCAGCTTGGACTCTATCCCTACCTTGGGCCCAGGGGCACAGCTCACAATGGGGGCATACCCCAGGCTGTGCCCCTTGACTGCCACCTGTCACAGGCTGCCTACCAGATCTACCGCAGCCTGGGACGCAGCTTCACTGGCCTGGCAGTGCTGGACTGGGAGGAATGGTGTCCACTCTGGGCTGGGAACTGGGGCCGCCGCCGAGCCTATCAGGCAGCCTCCTGGGCTTGGGTGCAACGAGTGTTCCCCAACCTGGACCCTCAGGAGCAGCTCCACAAGGCCCGCACTGGCTTTGAGCAGGCAGCCCGGGCACTAATGGAGGACACACTACGGCTGGGCCAGGCACTGCGGCCCCATGGGCTCTGGGGCTTCTATCGCTACCCAGCCTGTGGCAATGGCTGGCACAGTACGGCTTCCAACTACACAGGCCACTGCCACACAGCCGCCCTTGCCCGCAACAACCAACTGCATTGGCTCTGGGCCGCCTCCAGTGCCCTCTTTCCCAGCATCTACCTCCCACCCAAGCTGCCGCCTGCTCACTATCAGGCCTTTGTCCGATACCGCCTGGAGGAGGCCTTCCATGTGGCCCTCACTGGGCACCCACATCCGTTGCCTGTCCTGGCCTATGCCCGCCTCACACACCAGAGTTCTAGGAGGTTTTTGTCTCTGGTAAGTGGAAGCTGATGTCTAGGGGTCTGAGTCAGCCAGCATGGCCCTGTCCTAGGAAGGTCTGAGAAGACCTTGCTTGGAGGATTTGAAGGGCAGTACCAATTTAGGGGTTCTGAGGGGAAGGCCCTGTCCTGGAGCATCTGATGAGGGAGGGATGGCTCTGCCTTGGTAGATCTTGAGGGGCAAGGCAAGGCCCAGCCTTTGCAACCCTGGTCTGAAGGGAGACATTCTCTGAGTGGAGGGCCTGAGAAGCCACTCAGAGGCTCCGTGCAAAGGGGCCCTACTCTAGAGGTAGAATAAGATTGTGGCAGTGAACCAGAAGAGTTTCAAGGCTGCACTCTAACCAACTGAGCTAACCAGCCAACCCAGAAGTTTCATGAAGGTGGAGGTGGGCTCGGATGGATCTTACCAGCCCAGCCCTGGCTTAGCAGTTCTCTGCCTCCAGGATGACCTCGTGCAGACCATTGGTGTGAGTGCAGCACTGGGGACAACCGGCGTGGTGCTCTGGGGAGACCTGAGCTTCTCCCGCTCTAAGGTGATCGTTGTCCCCTTCAGCCTGCCATGCAGCACATGCTGGGGTCCCAGGGTGGGAGAGAGGCCACATCAAGCCCATGGAGCAGGAACACTGACACACCCCTTCCTTTTTCCTCAGGAGGAGTGCTGGCATCTCCATGACTACCTGGTGGGCACTCTTGGCCCCTATGTAATCAATGTGACCAGGGCAGCCGTGGCCTGCAGTCACCAGCGGTGCCATGGCCATGGGCGCTGTGCCCGGCGAGACCCAGGACAGATGGAAGCCTTTCTGCACTTGCAGCCAGATGGCAGCTTTGAAGCTTGGGAGTCCTTCAGCTGCCGCTGTTACTGGGGCTGGGCTGGTCCTACCTGCCAGGAGCCCAGGCCTGTGTCTAAGGAAGCAGCATAAAGCTAGGAGTCCCTGCCCTTGCCTCTTCTTGTCCCTGCTGCCACTTTCCCAGTCTTTGAGGGACTTTGTCCCACTTTTGCTCTATTTAGATTACAGTCAGCCCTCCGAAACGAACACCCCACTTGCACCCCACCTCCCTTGGGATCCTTGAAGGGTGGAAAGAGCAAGAAAAAAAGGCTTATAGGGCTGGCCAGTTAGTTTAGTTGGTTAGAGTGCAATGTTATAACACCAGGTTCGAGGGTTCAGATCTCCATACCAGCCAGCTGCCAAAAAAAAGGAGAAGAAAGAAAAATGATTATAAAACCAGAGACTCTCTGAAGTCTCATGACAAGGACAGTCCCAGGGAAAGTAAGGGTTCCAGCTGGTTAGGGTTGCCAGTCCAGGGCTTTGTTCCTACACCTCACTGGGTCCATGGAGGTCACAGAAGACCCATCAAGGGGCAGGTGGGCCCCAAGATCTTGGCTAAGGTCTGTACGTGCTAAGCTGTTTTCTGTCTGTACTCTGCTTTCATCATAAAGTCACTTCTTTGACTGCCTGAGGTTTGGCCATTCCCCCTGTTCTACCAAGCCCTAAAGCTCTTCCCATGGTCCCTGGACCAAGGGGGTCCTATAGGCCTGTTGCGCGTGCCCGGCTGCAAATGCCCTGAGGTGCCTGTCCTGCGGTGGTGCTCCACTCGGAGAGAAAAACTTAAGAGTTCATGACTGCGCGCTGTGCACGGCGTGGGGGTGGGGAGGGCTGCGCAGGGCATTGTGGGTGGATAGTTCTAGTAGAGCGTCGTTAGCTTGTGGGTCCAGGGGTGGACTTCAGTTCCCGTGGTGCTGTACGCCCAGCCGGCCGGCGGTAATCTGAGGGCGCGCAGTCCCCTGGGAATAGTAGTTTCGGCAGCGTGGATCCGGGTCTGAACCGGACTGCCGGGAACTCGGCTTCCCGGCGACCCGTTTGGCAGGGCGGGGCGCCTCGCGAAGATGGTGGCGCGCGTGGCGTGTGGCTCCCGTCGTCTGCCCAAGTCTCAGCGCAGCGCACCAGCCGGCGTCTGGCTGCTCTTGAGTCCCCGTCCTCCGGGTCCCTGACCCCGCGCCCCCTGTGTCCCCCGCGCTTCCCTCACCCTGTTCCCGGCATGCCCCGCGCCCGTAAAGGCAACACGCTCCGCAAGGGCGGCCAGCGCCGTAGGGGAGGTGAGTAGGGGGTGCGGGGCAACTGATGAGCGGCGAGTAGGGGCCCAGCGTGGGTCACCGTCAGTGTCCCCAAGTGTCCTAGGGTAGGAAACTCCCCCTCGACCAGTCTGGCGCAGCCTCCCGGAACTCCGCCGAGGATGGCACATGCCCCAGCAGGCATGGGCCACGTGTGCACCCAGCTTGAGTCCGCGCTCCAAGGTGGTGACCGGGCCAGCACCTCTGGGCCTCGTTTTCCCCATTGCCAGTAAGCAACTAGGGGGGACATACCTACTCGACAGAGCGGGAAGCCAGCCCCTTGCTGACCCTGATCCTTTAGTGGACTAGACAGGGAAGTTGGCGGGAGGCTTGGCTTGCTCCAAAGAACCCAGAGAGAAAGTGATTGGGAAGCTACTGGATACAGGCCTTGGTGGGCCCGGTCCCAGAGGGTGGGTGAGTGTCCTGGAGCCTGAAGCAGTCGTAGGACTCTCTTATCAGTGTCGACCAGGAGCCTGTTCTGGTGCGGTAAACACACATGTTTACTCTGTCATGATGGGATGCCTGCCAGGCACAGTTTTAACCTGGCCACCAGCCTAATGGGGCTTGGATGGGGGACATCTGATAGGGTAATGACTACTCCAGAATGTGTTCACTGAGTGGTGTCAGCCCCAGACTGAGGAACCAGGAAGGTGCCAGGGGGAGGGCTTCTGGGTGAGTCCTGAGAAGGTGGAGTAGGGAGCACCATGTGGAGAGAACAAGTTGTGCAAAGGCCTGGCAGCTGGAGGGACCATGGTATAGTGGAGCAAATGAGAGAACGCTAGGCTGCTTTGGCAGGATAGTAACAGAAGAGGCCAGCCTGGCGATCAGAACCTGTCCTGTGCTCTGCCTCAGCAGCCACCCTTGCCAAAGTCAGCCCTTGGCCTTGGACAGAACCATACACAGGAGTGTTCCAGCCCTACTGACCCTGATATTCCCATGTTCACCTGTTTTCAAGGACTAACATAGTTACAGGGCCACTTCACTTTCTGCTCTTCCCAGGGTGAGGAGGAGCCTGTGTTTTCCTGGGGGACCAAAGGAAACTCAGAAGACAGTATGCTTAGGGCTGGCCCGTGGCTCACTTGGGAGAGTGTGGTGCTGGTAACACCAAGGCCACGGGTTCGGATCCCTATATAGGGATGGCCGGTTAGCTCACTTGGGAGAACGTGGTGCTGACAACACCAAGTCAAGGGTTAAGATCCCCTTACTGGTCATCTTTAAAAAAAAAAAAGACAGTATGTTTGCAGCCTGGGGCACTCATGTACACCCCACTAGGAGCTGGGCATCTGCCCCCTAGGGCTAACGGGTGACCCGATGAGCTTGTTGGCCCACAGCAGTGCCATAACAAGTCACTTGTCTTCACCTACTCTACCTGAAAGAGGTGCTTATACATCTGTGTTTTGCCGATGGAGAAACTGAGGCTTTGAAGGCTGGGCGACTGATCTGGTTATACCCCTGTTAAGATGTGAAAATGGGATTTGAACCCTGGGTCTGCCTAACTCTATAATCTAAGCCCCTGATACTTGCCCTGCCCACTTTTGAGCATAATCTGGGCTGGTAGCTGAGCTCTGCCAGTATCTGCCTGGATATGTCCCCACTTCAGGCTGGTCCACAGGCCTAGGTGGGACCTGTGCAGCCCCTTCTGCCTCTCCCTGGCTCACAGTCTCCTCTTTAAAACAGGCTCTGGCCTTGGAGGCACTGCTCACCAGACCTACCAGATTATCCCTAGACTGGCCAACAGGTGGACCTCTTTCACATTCTGCTTCCTGGTTCAAATTCCCTACATCAGCACCTGTGCTGCCTGCCTCAGCTTTGCTTTTCTCATCTCTGAGCAGGGGCAGCATTGTATTGTTAGGTCACAAGGTCATGTGAGGCACCCCCCACACACACACACCCCTCCCTCATCAATGAAAGCAGATCAAGTACCTCCATTCCACGCTCCCCAGGTGCACAGAGCAGTGCCCAAGCTGACTCAGGTTCCAGTGAGGATGAAGCAGCCAGTGAGGCCCACAGCACCACCAGTGAATGCCCCAGCCTTCTCAGCACCACAGCAGAGGACAGCCTTGGTGAGAGTGGGTGGTAGTTTGGCAAGGGCTCTGTTGGGTGAGGACAAGAAACACTGCTAACCCGCTGACCTTGCAGGGGGGGATGCTGTGGATGAGCAGGGCCAGCAGGAAGACCTTGAGGAAAAACTGAAGGAATATGTGGACTGCCTCACAGACAAGAGGTACTCCCGGCTGCCAGCCAACTCCTACACCCAGGTCCCTGCTCAGCCTATTGCCAAGTGTTACCAAGGGAGGGCTGGCCCATATGACCCCCTTCTCCACCCCCCAGTGCCAAGACTCGGCAAGGTGCTCTGGAGAGCCTGCGCCAGGCCCTTGCATCCCACTTACTCCCTGACTTCTTGCTGGAACGCCGCCTCATACTAGCTGATGCCCTGGAAAAGTGCCTCAAGAAAGGTCAGGCCCAGGGGCATATGGGGGACCTAAACTGGGCAGTTGCTAACCCTTGCTACATGGACTGACCTGAAAGCATCCCACAGGGAAGAGCGAGGAACAGGCCCTGGCTGCTGCTGTGCTAGGCCTGCTCTGCGTGCAGCTAGGCCCTGGACCCAAGGGTGAGGAGCTGTTCCACAGCCTTCGGCCCGTACTGGTCTCTGTGCTCAATGACAGCACAGCTAGCCCTGCTGCCCGGCTCCACGTGAGTGTTCCAATGCCCCATGAAACCCTTCCTCCACCTTATCCCTAAGAAGAGTGGTGGTTCCATCTGTCTTCAGGCTCCCCTACTCTGAGGAGGTTGAGCCCCTCGCTGTGAACCCAGGCTTACCCCCTGACCGTGGCCTGGCTTTGTCCTCCTCCCAACAGTGTGCTTCTGCTCTTGGCTTGGGCTGCTATGTGGCTGCTGCTGACGTCCAGGTGAGTGGCCCTTGGGTCCAGGTAGTAGAGTACCTAGGCCCATAGCTCAGCCCCTGAGCCACTCCCCTGTCCCCCTGTGCTCCTAGGACCTGGTCTCTTGCCTTGCCTGCTTGGAGAGTATTTTCAGCCGGTCCTGTGGTATGGGTGGCTCCACAGCTCCTGCGATCCCTGCCAGCGTGCATGGCCTGCTCTGTGCTGCTCTGCAGGCCTGGGCATTGCTACTCACCATCTGCCCCAGCACCCACATCAGCCACATCCTTGACAGGTAAGGCCGGCTCCCCCTGGGGTGGGAGGAGGGGATCTTGAAGAGGCCTCCAACTGACGCATGTGGTTCAGCTTGCCCCTTCCCTAGGCAGCTGCCCCGGCTGCCCCAGCTCTTGTCCAGTGAAAGTGTGAACCTGCGAATCGCTGCCGGTGAAACCATTGCACTCCTCTTTGAGCTTGCCCGGGACCTTGAGGTATGACAGGTATAGGGGATGGGGGGGAGGGTGCCTGTGACACCATCTGCCCATCCTAGGCATCCAGAAAACAGAAAAGCCATAGGTTATTATGCAGGGGAGGTGGCCTCAACACAGACTCACATGCTAGCTGCTATGGCATGGGCCCTGAGCAGGGGTACCTTGTAAAGGCAGAGGCCAAGGAGGGCTTCAGAGGGACCAGGCAGGTTATTATGCAGGGGAGGTGGCCTCAACACAGACTCACATGCTAGCTGCTATGGCATGAGCCCTGAGCAGGGGTACCTTGTAAAGGCAGAGGCCAAGGAGGGCTTCAGAGGGACCAGGCAGAGAGGAAGAGAAGGGCTATCAGTCAGAGGAAGGGTTTGGGCAGCCCCATGTTGAGAGCAATCAGAGCTCAAACTTCTGCCACATGCCCTCCATTGCTCCAACTGCAGGAGGACTTTGTTTACGAGGACATGGAGGCCCTCTGCAATGCCCTGCGCACTCTGGCCACTGACAGCAACAAGTATCGTGCCAAGGCTGACCGCCGGCGCCAGCGCTCTACTTTCCGTGCTGTGCTGCACTTCATTGAGGTATGTGTGAGAGTATATGTGTCCTAGTGAGAATGCATCCTCAGGCATAGCAGCCAAGCCTAGTCGTGTGGGCCCCTCTACCCTGCAGGGTGGAGAATGCGAGGAAGAGACAGTGCGCTTCGGGCTGGAGATTCTGTATGTGGACAGCTGGGCTCAGCACCGGATCTATGCTGCCTTCAAGGAAATGCTGGGTTCGGGCATGCACCACCACCTCCAGGTGCGGGGATGGACAGGGAGGAGGCACCTGGCTTGGCTGCTTCAGACTGGCTTGAGCTCACTGCCCTCTTTGCCCCTAGAACAACGAGCTACTCCGTGACATCTTTGGCCTGGGCCCTGTGCTGGTGCTGGATGCCACTGCCCTGAAGGCCTGCAAAATTTCACGCTTTGAGAAGGTTTGCACCCTTGGGCACCTTTATCTTCTTTCCATTGCCCTTTCTCCTGGTGGCCTGGAGTTCTGTGGGGGCTGGAGGAGGAACCCTGGGCTTTCCCCTTCCCAGCTCACCAGGTCATCACTCTTTGTCCCTGCCCTAGCACTTGTACAATGCTGCTGCCTTCAAAGCCCGGACCAAGGCTCGCAGCCGTGTGCGGGACAAGCGGGCAGACATCCTCTGAAACAAGACCAGCTAAAGAGGAGACTATCCACACCCTTGCCCATATTTTTAACAGAAGACAGTGCAACAGCTGGTCTCTGCCAGTAAATGTCGCTTTATTTTTTTAATGACAAAGCCAAAAACAAAATGGGGTGGGTGGCTGAGAGACAGGACACTTGGGACCCTAACCCTTTGTCCCTGCACTCAGCCCTGTGGGCTCTTCCTGCCCTCTCTCAGGCCGGGCCAAATGTGTGCTTATCCCAGGGCTGTAAGGCTTGAAGTAGGAAAGCTGTCCTTCTCAGGCCTTGTTCCCCCAGGGTGACCCACTTCTTTGTGGGGGGATGGCATCTGGACAAATGCCACCACAGAAGATGGGGAGGCAAAGCTACCTGGAATGGATTTATGTGCCGATTTTTAAAGATTATTAGAGATAATTAAACAAAATATGCAGCCTTCTGTGGTCTTGACTCCTTGGTATTTCTGCCTGTCCTCCCTCCCCATCCACCACCCCAGGCTTCAGCCCAGGTGGGTTTCCCCCATCTCATCTTTGCCCTCCTAGGCAGTCTCTCCCCAGGTGGCCCTCCTCCCCCTACTCAGAGCCCAGCCTGTCTTTGAGAACTGAGGTTGGACCCCCACTAAAAGACCTGGCAGAATTTGGGTGACTGCAGTGGAGGCAGCTATTTCTAGACTTCTGAACCTGCTATCTGGGGGTGGCCAGAGGGTGCTAACAGGCCACAGGAGGAGCCAGGAGGTTGGCACCCCTTCCTCCGACCTTGGGCCACCCAAAGCAGGGCCTCGGCACCAGAAGGCTTGCTAAGCCTGGCCTGAAGAGGTCAGGAGAGGCAGGCAACTGTGGAGTCACATTAAGCTCCTGTAGAAAAATTTCACCAAGGAAGTAGTGTAGACGTGGCCAGCAGCAGGAGAGGAGAGACCTGGCAATGGCCACTTTATTTCCCCCACCCCACCCCACCCCGGGCCCCTGGTCCAAGTGGCATCTCAGCTGGGTACTCGGGCTTCGCTGGAGTTGAGCCTCCGCAGCTGGCTGAGGCTGGCCAGGCGGAGTTTGAGTAGCGTCTCCTCCTGCGTGCGCAATGTGTGTGCCAGGATGCGCAGGGATTCACTCTGCAGCACTGCGAATGGGCAGGCAGGAGTGGGAGATCCTTCAGACCATGTGCCACCCCGCACCCTCCCCCTACCCAGATAAGCGCCAGGGGGCGCCTACAGACCCCGATCCGGCCCTTCATCGCTGCAGCATGTGCAGTTGCTCCTTCCAACAGCGCATAAGGGCCTCAGGGTCCCACCAGCACCCTGCGTGTCAATCCGTACCACTCAGGTAGACGGCCAGTATGGCGAGCACTAGGCAGGTAAGCACCAGCAGCGCTAGCAGCAGCAGGAACCCCCCGCGGCCACACATGGGGCTGCAGCCTGCCTGGGCACATAGCGAAGGCGGCAAGACACCCAGCAGCTCCTCCCATGGCCGTGCCTCTTCGACCAGATAGGGGCGCAGCGAGCCTGCAGGGCGGATGGAACATCAGGAGGGCAATGGGGGCAGCTACTTTCCTCCCCTCTCCCAGAACACTTATCCTGCATCCCTGCCCCCATCTCACCTCCACTGTGTAGGTCGCTGATGGACTCCACACTGTGCAGACGCACCTCCTGCACGTGGTTGAGGACCGGTGTCTCCCTGCTCCTCTGGCTCAGCCTAGGTGCTAAGGTGTCTGCAGGGGTAGTGTTGAGCTTATTTATTTATTTATTTATTTATTTATTTTAATAAAAAGATGATGGGTAAGGGGATCTCAACCCTTGATCAGTAAGGGGATCTTAACCCTTGACTTGGTGGTGTCAGCACCACGTTCTCCCAAGTGAGCTAACCGGCCATCCCTATATAGGATCCAAACCCGCGGCCTTGGTGTTATCAGCACCGCACTCTCCCAAGTGAGCCACAGTCCAGCCCCTATGTTGGGCTTATTTAGCTGGCGGGTCTCCCCCTCCCTTCTCCCAGATGGCCTCAGGCAGCAGGGACTTGGGGAGGATGGGGCATTTGGTTTCAGATTCCCTAAAACTGACCCAGGGATGGCCTTTGATTTGCACTCAGGACGATCCCAAATCCCTATAGGCCAGTTTTGTGTAAGGTGGCAGGAGGTACACTTTACTTGCTCCCATATGTTTCCTTCCAAGCACCTCAAGGACCTCTGCCTGCTCATTTCTAGCAAATATTTTATCAGTCTTGCAGGACAAAATTCACAGTGTATGGAATTCAGTCCTGCCTCTTCTGCTATCAATTTCCCCTGCAGTCCCTGTGAGTTAGCCCATCAGGCCAGGCCCAGTGTCTGGCACATTCTCCTCCTTCTGGGCAGAAGCAGCCTCATTATAGCCATTGTGGTGTTTTTTTTTTTTCCGAGCTTTGGTTTTGCATTCTTTAACATAGTGTGATTCTGCTGTACTTCTGTGAACCCTGCTGTTTTCTGTCAATATCACTACAGGAAACCTTTATTTGGTATACTATTTCACATGCCTCTGAGGTCTCACTCCAGGCATCCCTTTGAGGCTGCCTGGGCATTTAGGTTTCCAGTTCCCTTCAGAAATTAATAACCACCAGGACATCCATCATTGAGTATGAAGGTTTTTCCCAATTTCCCAATAGTCATTAAGGACAATTCCCAGAAGTAGGATTACTGGATCCAACAGCACAGATTTTTCTTTTTTTTAAAGCTGTCGTCATCAAATTGTTCTTTAGAAGGGCTTTCTACAGGCCCCAACAGGGTATACATTGTTTGTCACCATTAGGCATCCCCATAGGAAAAAAATATATTTACGTGCACACATATATATTTGCTAATTTGGAAGATGAGAAATGGCCTGTCTTGATTGATTTGATTGGGTTTCTTTGCCTAGGGAGCCTGACCAATATGCTTTTTTTTTGGTGCCTGGCCAACATGGGGATCTCAACTCATAACCTTGGTGTTATAAGGCTGCACCCTAACCAGCTAAGCTAACTGGCCAGCCCCAACATGCTTAATTATCCATTAATAGCCTCTTCCCATTTAGTCACTGGGGTTTGCGTACTTCTCTTGATTATTTATTTTCTTTCTGTTTGTTTTTTGGGTTTTTGTTTTGTTTTTTGGAGGCTGGCTGGTAAGGGGATTTGAACCTTTGACCTTGGTGTTATCAGCCCCATGCCCTAACCAAGTGAGCTAACCAGCCATCGCCCTGATAGGGGCCAGGGTGGCCTTGGACTCTGGGTCTGTCACTCAGGACAGTAACTCGCCTTCATAATTTGCTTGAAACTTCCCCTTGACATGCTCAAAAGCTAGTTAAACAAAGAGAGATGCTGCCAGTCGTTAAGTCTGGGTAGTGGGTTGAGGATCATGTTAAATTCCCTCTTTTCACTTTGCTGTGCTTTCCCCACCCACACTTTCTAAATTGAACATGGATTCTATTTGTTACAGGAAAAACACACAGTAAATGTTATTGTTTAGACCTCAAAAGAAGGCAAACATTTCCCCCTACAAGGGGCCAGGCCCCTCACCAGCAGTGTAAAATGTGGAAAATGTGATTAGAGGAGTTGGCCAGCTGGGCCACCCCGGGTTGTGGGCTATGAGCTGGAGCATGGAGCAGCTGGTTCTGCATCCTGGCCCGCACTGTACCTGTGGCTTCCTGGATCTATGCTGTTCTGGCCCCTCTGAGCCTCAGTACTTCTTATATGCAGTGGATCAATTAGACGAGTGACCATTAAGCTCTTGACTAGCTGAGCGTCAGTCTCACCAGGCCAAGGAACCCAAACCCTTAGCTACTTTGGGATATTTAGGCCCAAGCTGAGGGAGGGCAGAAGCCTATCTATTTCCCAGTTCCCTGGCCAAGTGCTAGAACCACTGCTCATCACCAATCCCAGCTTTCTTTTCCCTGAAAGAAGAGCTGAACTGGCCAGGCAGCTGCCCAGATGCCCACACCGTCTTGGGCACAGCCTGTAGCTGACCCACCCCTAACTAGGTAGCTTCCCCCAGTCTCTCCCTACTGTCTCCAGCAAGGAAAACTGAATCAGGGCCTGAGGTGGGGAGGGGTTCCCGGCATGGCAGGCTCTTCCTCCATGCATAGTGGTTATGTCCCTTTTCTCTAGCTGTCTAGCTGGGACATGAAAATTGATAGTTAATACAGTGAGGTCAGTGGGACAGAGGGTGGGTCTCACCGTGGTCCACAAGATCACAAGGACTGGGGCCTTACCTTCCCTCATGGTCACCCTCTCCTACCTTCTTGGGTCTCCTCAGGCATGGCAAGTGGTGGGCAGTCAAGGGACCGATGAGGGCACCCAGTAGCAGGACTGGACAAAGGCAGCAGTGGCTCCTCTGCCTGGTGAAGGCCTGGCTGCCTCTCAGCCTGGGCCTAAAATAGGCCTGAGCTCAGCCCACTGGGCTATATTTAGAGGGGGCAGCTCTCAGCCATGAGAAGGTACAGAGTGACCCACATGAGCCAGTCTGAACTATCTACCTGGTAATGGAGCCCAGCCAAGAGATTGCCTCCACTAGTACATGTACCCAGGGGCCTTCTCAAGGAACCACACCACACGCATACATGCACAGGCCTTGGGGCCTTCATCCAGAAAGCCACCTCAGGGGGCCGGCCCGTGGCTCACTTGGGAGAGTGTGGTGCTGACAACACCAAGTCAAGGGTTTAGATCCCCTTACCGGTCATCTCTGGACTGGGAGTGGTGGACAACCAGATGCCAGTGCTTTGAGGGCTCTGATAACCCCACAAGTGCCCCCCCCCACACACACACACACACGGCACCCATGCTGGCCAGTGGATAGATCTGGCCAGCCCCAAAGAGATTGTACTTTATTACTAAGCTTACAATCTTAGGTAAAAGATCACCTCTCTCCAGACTGTTTTCTCATCTGCAAAATGAGAACAGCAGTGGTTCCTCTCTGGTACAGTACACTGAGAATGGAGATACAACCATGTGTCTGATGCACTTAGTACAATGTAGTTTCGGTCCTCCCTCCCTCCCCAGAAGGGTATACAGGTGACACAAGGTCATGTGAAGATGCATAGCAGTGCCTACCTTTGAAGGGAGGACGTTGCCCAGCTTCAGGCTCTCCCTCTGTGTTTGAACCCCTGTGTCCCTCCTTCCCAGCTGGGGCAAAGCAAGATTGTGGGCTCTGTCTCCTAAAACATCCCAAATCATCACTCCATGGTATCACATTGGCTTCCTTGACGTTTCTCAAACTTAGCAAACTTGCTCGCACTTCAGGGCCTTTGCAGTAGCTCTTCCCTCCTGGAATGCTCTGCCCCCAAATATTCCTGTGACTGGCTCCTTCTTGTCATCATTCAGCTCAAATGTCACACCCTCAGTGAGGCCTTCTGCTCACATTCTTTTCCACATCACCGTTTTATTTTCTTCATTGCACTTAACCCTTAAATTATATTATGCAGAATGTATTGTGCACGTCAGTATCTCCAAAAACCCACAGAACCCGCTCAGTCATGTAGAAACCACCTTTAATCCTCACCCCAGCAAACTTGGACAGGAGAAACTCAGTACCTGAGACTGCTAGGAAGGTGCCCAAGACCGCGCAGCAAGGTCTAGGACTAGCAGTTGTCCGCTGGGGTCATACCAGCTTAGACTGATAATGTGTTTATTGCATTACTTTAGTACAGTCGGCCTGCCTCACCCAGCCCCCACCCCAACAGCCCATCTTGTTCACAGCTTTCTGCTCACTGCCCCAAGGGGAGGGGGGTGGAGGGTGTCCCTCCTCCTGGATGGGCACTCCAGGTCCTCCCAGTCCCTGGTCGTTGCTCTGGAGCCCAGCTTCTCTGCCCCCCATCCCCGCCGGATCCTGCACCCGGCCTGGGCCGCCTTTCCCAGGGCTACATTCAAGGGTTATCCTGTTAATAAATAAGCCAGAGCGGCCGCCCTTAAGCCAGGGCCGGTCAGTTGGTGTCTCTGTTGACTGGGGACCCCAGTGTGCTCGGCCCCAACCCATCTGTCTCCCTAGGGTCTGTCTGACCCCTCTCCCGCCTGTCGGCTCCTGCCTGGTCCCCGGTCACCAGCGAGCTGCGCTGCGCGGCCCCCGCTCAGAGCGTAGCTCAGGCGAGTGCGTCCGCCGGTTGCGACCCTTTCTCCGCGACTCTGAGGTCGGTGGGCGCAGCGCGGGTTGCGGACGGCACATGCGCAGGGAGCTCGTGCCGCCACCGCCACCCGGCTCTACCAGTTGCAGAAAGTCCCTGTACCAGAGTTTGGGGCCCGCCGGCACAGCAGGTGCGGCGACCTCGGCCCGCGCCAGCCTTTCTGCCTGAGCAGCACTGAGCACGTACAGCGCTAAGCGCCGCGTTGGCTGCGAAAAGCCCTGCTCGACGGCAGCGCACAGGTATATGCCCGAGTCCTGGCGCCGCAGCCCGCGCAGCAACAGCCCCCGCACCGTGTGTTCAATTCGCTCCTCTGCCAGCACCTGCGGGGAGGGGAGCGGCGTGAGGAGGGGGCGTCTGGGAGGAAACAGGACTTCCCGCCCCGAGCAACGGACAGGAGAAGCAGAGTCACGAGGAGCCGAGGGGAGCAGGAAAGGGGAACCCGCAGGTGCACATTTGAAGGTTGCATGAGTGGGGGCTGGTGGTCTTCAAATAAAGATCAGAACGGGCGTTTCACCTGAAAGTAGGGGGAGGGTTAGAAACCCAAAAGGGCAGGTCTTCCCCTGTTGTGTATGTGTGTGTTGGGGGGCCGGTGGTCAGGAGCCTAGTTGGACCAGGATGTGGAGTGCAGGAAAGGGACCAAACTGGACCCAGCGAGTAAGGGTCTGGTTGGGCGGGGCCTCACTGGGCTGGACTTCACCTAGGTGTGGGATGCAGGCCAAGGGCCTCATTAGGCAGAGCGGAGCCTCTCCTGGATGTAAGGGGGAGGGACAAGGGCCTGGTTGGGAAGGACGGGCAAGGGTCACCTGGGTGTGGGCCGCGTCGCCTGCCGGCTGGAAGCTCCACTCCACGCGCGCCTGAAGCGAGCGGGGTTCACACTCCAGAAAGGCGCTGCCGCCCTCTACACCGAACACCTTCTGCTCCAGCAGCGCGGGACGGGACGACTCTTGGGGCGGGGAGAATATCTGATTTAGACAAGGCAAGGTGGGGTGAGAGCAGATAGATGGGGGTGCACTCACCTCCGGAGCACAACGTGCTGGGATCGCCGTTCCTTACGTCTTGCCGCCTGAACCTCCTGTGGGGAATATTGGAACCTCCGTGAGCCCTTCTTCCAGCCCGAGGTAGAGAAAGACCCTTCTTCTCCTTCCCGGCTGCCCAACCCCAACCCCGCCCACCTCTTGACACTGGGCTGGAAGCGCGTGCACGCAGCCCCGTCCCAGGCGCAGTAGGGGTCACGCGCCAGGCAGCATTCGGCGCAGGCGCGGCCGTGGGCAGCGCAGCGGTGCAACGCGATCTGGGCCACGGCGCTCCGCGAGGCTACGTACAGCTGGTGCTAGGGGGCACGAAGGGCTAGCGGCTGACCCAGGGCGGCCCCGCGCCTGCCTCCCATCGGTCAGGGATCCCTTCCCCCACTTGACAGATGGGAACACTGAGGTCTCACTCAGGTCACACAATCTAGCAAAGGCGGAGCCTATACGCAAACCAGGGGCTGTGAACTACCAAAGGGGGTGAGAGGTTTGGGGCGCCCCATCACAAGCTCAAACCATCCCACCCCCACTCCTCTGGTCACTCACCCTCTTGGAGGAGATTTGCATGCTGGTGACAGCGGCTGAGTCCTGAGAGGGAGGAGGAGCGCCCGGGGTCAGGGCTTAGTGGGGTGGGGAGACCTCGGTCTACTAGGGGGTGAAGGCTCACCTCAAACACGTGCAGCTCCTCCAGGAGCAGCCCCTCGGCGCTAGGCCGGCTGCCCTTGGGGACTGAGATCACCTTCAGCACTGTGCCTGCATCTGCAGGGATAAGAAGGAGGAATGATCATTGTTCCCTAACAGCCAGTACCTGAGCCTTCACCTCAGCATGGATGGGTACTGAAGTGGATAACAATGGGGGCAGCATCCAGAAGGTGGGGCTGCAAAGATGGGGAGATGGGACTGAACAGAGAGAACTTCCTCTTCCAGGCCAAGAAGGCTGGATGGGGTCCTATGGATCGTTGTGGCGGGATCCTGACCTGTGCCAATGAAGAGGACGTCATAGTGTCCATCAGCAGCTGCTACGCGGTCCGCAGAGATTTGGGTAAAGGTGTACCCAGCGCCCACTTGTAGGAAGAGAGGGCGCCCCCCCATGGGCAGGACCGAGTTGTACATGAGGGGGTGGTTCCGGGCAAACTGGATGACGTCATCGGGGAAGTCCTTGGTGGAACTGAAGGTGCCAAAGGTCTTGCTGGGGCACTGGGGTGGGGGGAAGGGGAAGCACAGCAGGGATAGAGGAATGGGGGCTTAGTGGGCAGCACTCCATGTGAGGCCTCAAGCAACATGGGGAAGGGAGGAAAGGGAACCCTTGGGATTTAAGAGAGGAGAACCAGGCTTGCACTGGAGAGTCTCAGTGGGGAGGAACGTGGCCTTCCTCAGAGGAGCCCCGTCTGATGATGGTGACCTTTTCCCACCCATAACAAAAGGAAGAAACCACATTCACCAAGAAGACCCCAGGCTAAGTTCTCCACCCTTGAGGCTTTGAAGTGGGTTGCGGCAGGAGTTCCCGGGCTACGAACCATGCCAGGCCTAGGGTAGGGGACGCGACCCTGGTAGGACACCCACTGGTGTGTGGGCCCCTCCTTGTGTGCAAAAGGTCCCAGGAAGGCCCGGCGCACGTCATTCATGTTGTACACGCACACGGCGGAGCCCTGGAAGATGCCACTGTAGGCAAAGACAAGAGCGAAGTGAGGGGTCCCAGCGGAGCCCAGCTGGTCCCAGCCCGGGTGCTGCTCCCTACCTCCCGACCCTCACCTAGACGTGGAAAAGACAGCATAGAGCAGTGGGGCCCGTCGGTCCCGCGATGACAGCATGAACACGTCCTCTGCAGGGAAAGGTCCGAGTTGCGGGAGGGTACACAGCTCTGCTGGCCCAGCCGGGCTCCAGGAGTCTGTGCCCCTGCTCCCATCCCCTATCCCATCCCCCATTCCCAGCACTCACGGAGCAGGTCGAAGTGGGTGTCGCCCTCGACCCCAGGCACCGAGCACACTAACCGCGCCTTCAGGAACGTTGTCCACTTGTTTACCAGGCTGCGCTGACCGCCCACATCGTTCTGCCAGGACGATCCGAGGGGATGAGGGCGGGACCAGGGTGGGCAAAGGGGTGGGGGCGGGGTCGCCG